CCCTGGAGCCAGGTTTTGGGGTGCTGGGGGAGGCTGGAGCACAGCTTTGGGGTGCTGCAGGAGTGTGGAGCAGGACTTTGGGATGGTGGTGGGTCATGCAATCCAGTTTTGGGGTGCTGCAGGGGGGAAGTAGAGCCTGATTTGGGGGTTCTGAGGGAGGTTAGAGCAGAGCTTTGGGGTGCTGGGGTGACATGCAGTCCAGTTTTAGGGTGCTGTGGGAGGACCTGGAGCCAGTTTTGGGGGCTCTGGCAGGGCCAGAGCAGGGTATTGGGGTGCTGAGGATCAGAAAGCAGGGTTTGGGGTGCTGTGTGAGCGAGGAGCGTGGCTGGGTGGTAGCAGGGAGCAGGGTTTTGGGGGGCTGCAGAAGCCAGTAGCAGGGCTTTGGGGAGGGCTGGGGGCTTGCCAGGCCCAGGGAAGCCACAGCCCCACTGCAGGCTCAGCTGCACGGCCACTGCCTCGGCCTCCAGTGCAGGGGAGATGCTGGGAGCGGGTTTATTTTGGGAGATCCTGCAGCTCCCATGCCACAGCAGCATTCCCTGGCCTGCTGCAGGGCAGAAACCCTGGATCCAGCCCCTGGATCTGTGCGTGCCCCCAGCCTGGAGCCTCTCCCTGGAGCAGCGCTGAGCTCTAGTTCCCCCAGCAATACAAACACCAGCACCCCAACTTCGCTTCTCTGAGACCTGGAAGTCTCCCCCTTCTTGTCAGTCCCAATTCCATCGCTCTTCTCACAGCCTTCATCCTCTCCTCATCCTCCTCCTGCCATCAGCTGCTCCAGGAACCATTTCCAGGGTGTTTGCTCCTGCCTTGGCCGCTCCCTCCGTTCCCACTTACGCAACCCCAACCTGCTCATTTTATAACCGCCCGAAACACGAGACTCCGCTTCTATAAAAAAAAAACAAATCTGGCTTTTATTCAGGCATCATTCCCTTCCAGAATATGCACCCCAGATATGTACTGAAGAGAAACTAAAGGAAGAAAAAGAGCTGGAAGGCAGGTGTTTATCAGAGATGTTGGGAAGACGTTCAGGCTTTCCATGTGCTGACTGCAGGCCAGCAGAAACGGGACAGCAGAAAATCTGTGTTGATTCAGTTCTTTTTTCAGGAGCTGGCCTTGTGTGTGAAAATCCAGTGTGCCAGAAAAGCAGGAAGGCAGGGTTGGCTCTTGTGGGTGGCTCTGCAGCAGTTTTTTTGGTTTTTGTTTTTTTTGGTGGAAAGGATCTATGAGTCCCCACAAGTGCTATTTTAAAGCTGCACGTCAGCAAAACTCGTGGGTTCTACCTAAATGCACCTAAAACTTTCCTCAGGTTTCCTTCACCCCCTCTGTGAAGTTCAAATATTAGATGTATTAGTCTTCCATAAGTCAAATAAAGCGTTTTCCCCCAAAAGGAGGAAGTACCTCTATAGGTACTTCCTCAGAGAGAGAAAGGCAAGGCATCAAAACTAACAATCCAAGTGGAAAAGCACAAACCTGCACAGGCTCAAGGGATACAAACAGCTTATTTCAACCTTCTTTTCCTGCAGGAGCCTTTTGTTTTGAAAGCAGAGGCCAGAGGTTGAGCCTCCTGGGTGGGCACATCCTGCCCATTGCTCCGGGAGGTATCCGTGTCCCTGGAGTGACCAGCGAAGGCTACACAGGGACCTGGGATGGAATTAGTCCATTCCAATTGGGAAAATTAAAAAACAAACAAACAAACCAAGGCACCACAATCCACCACTCTGTTCTGCCACGTTTAAACCTCCTGCAGGAGCTGCAGTTCCTCAGAGGAGGGACAGGCGACACCACCAGACCCCCAAGGCCACACACCCAGCGCTGCTCAAAGCCACCTGTTTGTACCCCTGGAGCTCTTCATTTTGCTTCAGATTTTAAATTAATTTCATCTCTCAGGGCTCTAAAGACACTGTCGGTGTTCACTTTGCATTTCCAGGGCTGTGAAGCTTTTGGATTTAGGGTGGTTTGGGTGAGTGGACTCATGGTCCCTGTATGACCACCCTGTATGCTGCTCAGGCTGAAGGACAGAGGCACTGTCACAGCACAGCAGGGAGAGAAGGCACAGCCACGATGTGAGGAAACACAGGGAAAACAAAATGAGTCCCTTGGATCAAAGCTAAAATGTCCAGCTTCCAAGCCTCCTGACATCATCCCCTGGGTTCTACACCCCAGAGGGTTAATGGTCTGCTGGATTCAGCCCCTGATGTTCAAGAGTTCTCATGTCCTCTCTCTCTCAGCTTCTGTACTGAGCACCTGCCAGCTCTTTTATCCTCTATTTCAGAGCCAACCCAGCACCAAAGGTCTGCCCAAAGGAGCCCCCCAGGCACAGGAGGAGCTGCCCTGCCGTGGGAAAAGCTTCAGCACGAGTCCTTTATGTCCAAATTAAAGCCCCAATGGGACAGGCTGCAGAGGGCCAGTACAAAGCTCTAAGGGAAACAGGACACAGCAAGGTTGATTTACAGTGTTTATATCCCTCTGCACACAGCCCAGCCCCTCTCAGCCAGCTCAGTTGTCCACCTCCTCCTCGTCGTTCTGCTCTTCCTCCTCCATCCTCTCATCATCGTCATCATTGTCTTCCTCTCGGCTTTTATCCTGCTCCTCTGAGTCTGCCTTCTTGTCTTTGTCCTTCCTGGCTTCCTTCTTGCCCTTCTGCTCCCGCCTGTAAACTGAAGGAGAGGGAGCAGTGAGGAACTGGCGCTTCCCGGGCACGGGCAGGGCAGCGGCTGAGCTCCAACACCCCCTGCTCTCCCGGCTCTCCAGGGGGGCAGGGAGCCCAGAGCAGCAACTCACCCTACGAGCTGAGCTGTGCTGAGCAGCTCCATAGGAAATCAGGTTAAATTTCAGCAGAAAAATGCTGAAAAGGACGCAGGAGATCACATTTACAGGCAGCACCTACGGCTTTCCTTAGATAAACATAATAGGGGAGTGAGGGCAGATGAGACTTGCTCAATCCTCATCAGTTGTGCAATAATGTTATGCCAGTCCCGTTAAGGTGCACATTAGTTACTCCCCAGGCAAACTGCAGTGTAGGATGCTGGGCAAAGAGAAGAGAGACAAGACAGGCAAGTAAGTGTTGCTTGTCCAGCGTTCGAGGAAAACGCGACTCGGTGCTAATCAGACTCTCCTGACACAAACAAAGGCCTGTACCTTCCAGAGATTCCTTCAGAGGGACCATGAACCTCTGGAACTCCATCTCCTCCATGGCAGAGAGCACGTCACCAGCATTCAGCGTTTTCCTCTTCCCCTTCATGGCAAAGTTATTTGCACTGGGAAAAAAACAAGGCAAAAACAAGAAGTAAAAGAGAGGCAGTTGGGAACTGTCATCAACTCACTCTTGTCTATTAAAAGTCACAAACAACATAAAAAACCCATAAAAGCCATCTCCTAAACATTTAGAGGTTTTTTTTATCTCCTTCTAATGGAGGTTTGAGACACTTTCCTGTTTACACTGGCTGTCTGTGCTTTTCCACATTAGTTTTCTGCTTGCACAGACCTTTTCTACAAGCAGAGGGAAGGAGAAAGCCTGAACACCGGCTGTGCCAGTTCCCCACAGCCC